TCTTCTTCTTCTTATATTTGAGGTGCCCACGATCAATTTGTTGATCATTCTGGCTCCTGGTTTAAATTCAGAGTTTTCCTTCTCTTAGATGGGTTGCCGTCCAAGGCTAACGAGTCCCATCTACCCGGGGTGCTTGGGATGATTTGCTTTTGGTGGGGATTGAACTCCAGACCACCAGCTGTTTGGTTTGAGACCGTTTAGACCGCTCGGCCACCCAGCTCCCTACATTCATTGTTAGTCTCACATTCTCAAAAGTCTATACTATCATGCCTGATGTGCACCAGAAACATTGTTCTTATTTCTTAGGACCTAATGCAAGGCATTCATTAACTTGCATTTAAAAAATAAACAGAAAACAGAGGGTTAGTTGGGAATGGGAACTAGCAGATGTCTGTCTGATCAGGTTAGTTGGGAATGGGAACTAGCGGATGTCGGTTAGATTAGGTTTGCTTGCCTTTTGGTTTGTCAGGTTTTCCTGGAAATGACATGACACAGTTCAAATAAATTATCTCAACTATCAAACAAATACAACAGACACTGGAAATGACAAAACAAATACAACAGACACTGGAAATGACATGACACAGTCCAAATAAATTTTCCTCAACTATCAAACAAATACAACAGACACTGGAAATGACAAAACAAACACAACAGACACTGGAAATGACAAGACACAGTTCAAATAAATTATCTCACCTATCAAACAAATACAAAATGCACTTAAAATGACATGACACAGTTCTAATAAATTATCTCAACTATCAAACAAATACAACAGACAAGTCTTATTTTTTTAAAATAACTAACCAGTCTGACTATATATTGATCAGAAAAAGTGTTGATCATTGGTTTTAATTGAAATGATTGTAACTGGCAGTTGATGACTGAGAAGACTCAAAGGGTTCCATGTTAACAACAAAAACATTGCATGGCATGGCATTTTTTTTTTTTTATATTATAAAATGACAGGAGAACAAGTATTTGGGAAAAAATTTAGGCACATCAGAAACTCAATTAGATCAAATAATGATACATGACAAACTTACTAATGCCTTAGGTGGAAGCTAGTAATCATTTGCATTTCTTTGTTGTTTTTTGTTGTTTTTTTAATTAATCTTTTATTATATTCATATCATCAGAAGAAGGCTTTTCTTTTTATTTATTTTTTATACTGGTTCATTAAAAAAAAAAATATATATATATAATTATATCTATCTATCTCTATATATATATATATATTACACATAAATAAATATATATATATATATATATTATAGATAATTTTTTTATTTTCTTTTTTTTTTTTTTTTGTTTTTTTTATTAATTTTTTATTATATTCTTATCATCAGAAGAAGGCTTTTCTTTTTATTTATTTTTTATACTGGTTCATTAAAAAAAAAAATATATATATATAATTATATCTATCTATCTCTATATATATATATATATGACACATAAATAAATATATATATATACATATATTATAGATAATTTTTTTACAAATTATCTTCATGGCTAAGTTTCATAGGTTAGGATCATTGAAGATGCTTGAAATTTATTGTTAATACATAACCAATACATTTGTAGTGAGTGGCCTCCACTAACCTGAGTGAGTGTACCAGAAACTAGCATGGTCGAGAGTTTTGACTTCCCAAACTGAAGAATAGTCTTTAGGGGCAACGGGCCCATTATCATCGGGCTGGAGAGAAGAATGGCAAATGAGGAGTCTGCTTATAAAGAATGGGATTACTGTTGGTTCATAAATGAGGAGTCTGCTTATAAAGAATGTGATTACTGTTGGTTCATAAATGAGGAGTCTGCTTACATAAATAATGTTGCTTACATCAATAATGTCATTGCTGTTGTTTCAATGAGGATTCTGGTTACATAAAGAATGTCATTGTTGTTTCATCCGGCATCTATCAATGAAACCAAAATCTAGCCTCCTAAGTTAAGCTGGTAAAAAATGTTTAAGTATCCTTCACATTTACGTGATATTAACAGACCCGACATTATGGTACTTACTGATATAACAGCCATACCGTCTAGTATGGCTGTGATAAGACCTATTTTAGGGGGTGATATGGTCATGTTGTACTTACTGATATAACAGCCATACCGGCAATTATGGATGTGATGAGACGTATTGTGGGTGGTGATATGGTCACAATGAAATCGGACACAATGACATCAATGTGGTGGTCCCTGCCTTGTGGACTATTACCAACTATGTCAATGGTGACTGGATGAAGGACCTGGACGGCAAACATACAATTTAACAAAAATAATAAATTAGTTGATTAGCTGTTAGCTGAAATAATTCATGGGCCCTGATGATAAGCAATATTAATACTTGTTTTGCTACAAAATACCTAAGTTTTAACATATGAATCTGCTAGTACTGTGTGAAACAATGTTAAAATACCTAAGTTTTAACATATGAATCTGCTAGAACTGTGTGAAACAATGTTAAAATACCTAAGTTTTAACATATGAATCTGCTAGTACTGTGTGAAACTATGTTAAAATACCTAAGTTTTAACATATGCATCTGCTAGTACTGTGTGAAACAATATTAATGTAAGAATCTGAAATACTGTGTTAATTTTTTTAGTTAGATTCAATGTTTTTTTCCATGATCATTAATGAGGAGGCTTTATGAAAGCTTTTTATAATGTTCTTTTAGATTGTTGTCCTAACACTCAGTCTTGCTTCCTGGATCAAAATAGTGCACATATATAACAATGTTGCTGTTTATAGAATGATGAGAAAGAAATGCATACTTAATGTTTGAAGTTGTGTGATACAGTTGTCTGTCCAGTGACAAGCACAGGTAATACAAATTGGCTGTCACCAATGAACAATAAAGTAGCAATTCTCTATAAATGTCCCACAGAAACAAAGAACAATTTGCCAATGGTTCAAATCAATGTAACTTAAACAAAAAGTGGCACAGGAATGAAATCTTGAAAAGTATTAAGACAAAAGAGCCTTCAACACAGGCAAAGATGACCCACGTAGATCAAATAGGGCAGTCTTTCCCAGGTGTGTTCATAGTAGCTGTAGCAGACCTCGAGCAGCTTCTTCTCCAGGGCCGTAATGACACGAGCTTTTTTATACAAGGCCTAAATGACATGGGCATAAATACCACACTAGGCACTCAAGCATACAAGACCTAAACAACACATGTTAAGTTTCAATGAGCTTAGTCTGTTAAGTTTGACTGAGTTTAGTATGTTGTTTGAATGAGCTTAGCCTGTTAAGTTTGAATGAGTATAGCATGTTAAGTTTGACAGAGTTTAGTATGTTAAGTTTGAATGAGCTTAGCCTGTTAAGTTGGACTGAGTTTAGTATGTTAAGTTTGAATGAGCTTAGCCTGTTAAGTTTCAACTTCTTGAGGCTAAATTTAACCAGCAACTCCTTAACCTAAATTTGTGGCCATTTAGTTGGCAACATGTTTCTTCATGTATTATCAAGTTTTCAAGTTTGGTCGATTCTCCTCACTCTACTCAGTTACTGATTATTTTCCTGGTCAAACTTATGATATTCCAGAAAACCTAATATTTAATTATTATTGAAAGTAATTTTATTAGAAATTAAAATAGACCTAATTCTAAAAATAAAATTTAAATAAATGCTCTTTCCCTAAAAATTAATTCCCATGATAATTTATACTATTAATTAAAGTTGTTTTGTGAGTTGTTGATCGTGAGGTCAGAGCGTGAAGTTAGTCCGTGGTGTGGAACGTTTGCGTAGGCTGAGTTGTTGTGTGGTATTATAAAAGGGATGTGTATTGGCTAGAGGTCAGTCAGCGAGAGAGAGTCAGAGAAGAAAGTCAGACAGAGAGAGAAGAAAGCTAGAGGAGCAAGATAATTGTTAGTCGTCGAAAGTTGTCAGTTAAGAGTTAGTCAGTAGCGATAGGAGCGAGTGGATAATTGGTCGTTGGACTCATGTGTATCCTGTTTTGTAAAGAACCTAATAAATATTATATATTGTTACACTGGACCTTGTGTTCTATGTGAGAGATTCATACACCCTAGACAAAGCAAGAGTGCCGTAACATTTCAAGTATAACAAAAGTCGTAACATGAGGCTTAAACTTTTATGTCATGTGTTCAGGAACCGGTGCACTGTTGAAACATTTCCCATATAAATATGTACATACGGTGGCGCTCTATTTCAACACAATTTATAACAAAAATTTTAAAAAAAAAAGGTTTTTCAAATCAATGAGAGAAGTTGAAACACTTACACTTTGCTTGGTGTCCACCATGTCAAATATACATGACACAATACTCAGCTCCTTGACTGCCCCCTTGATACTAATGGTGTCTTGGTTCATCCTAAGATGAAATTCCAGTTGTACCTGAAAGGGATTTCATATAAAGTTGTTTTTTTTATAGAGGTAAATGGTTGCATCAATTTACAAACCACTGGTGACACCTATAAGCTACTTTTGCCAAGCTACTGGTGACATATGTAAGCTACTTTTGCCAAGCTACTTGTGACATATGTAAGCTACTTTTGCCAAGCTGCTGGTGACAAATTTAAGCTACTTTTGCCAAGCTACTTGTGACACCTTAAGCTACTTTTGCCAAGCTACTGGTGACTCATGTAAGCTATTTTTGCCAAGCAAAGGGGGGCATCTGTAAGCTACGTTTGCCAAGCTGCCGTAGACAAATTTGTCAATGAGACAATGGCCCAATAATAATGCACAGAGTCTTAAAATTAGAGAGACGTCTTCAATGAGAGAATTAATTTTGAAAACAACAGGTAATATAATAATACATCATCATCTGCTTTGATTACTTTCATGAATATTTACAATGTTGTGGTATATCCAGAGGGAAATTTAAAATCTCTAAAGTAGAAAAAAATGTTTCTTTATAATTGAATGCCTCTACAGAAGCTCTCACATATCCATTTTTATTTCAAGCTTTTTAATAAAAATAACAAACAAAATATGTGCAGATCGTCTTATTAAACCCACCTCCTGCATACCTCAGTCAAGGGCCCCTGGCATAACTCAGTAAAGGGCCCCTGGCATACCTCAGTTAGGGCTATCAATAAAATGTTAAAAAATATACAGTAACTTAGGTCTAGACTAACATGTTTCAAAGAAAAGTAGGGATGAACCAAAATCAAATTCTAGACCAACTTGTCTTCCAAATCCAGAAATGGTTACACTGGAGCTCCCGAAACAGTACAATATAGCCTTAGAACAACACTTTACCATTTCAAAATCATTAAAAACCATATTGTTATAACCATATCAGTACAAGGTATACACAAACTATTAGCATTGCATGTCTAATAAAGGTCACTTCTTAAAGTAGACGACTCATGTTTATATATTTATACTCAGTGCATTATTATTACTCATGTTTATATATTTATATACAAAGCATTATTGCTAATACAAATGTGCCCGCCATATGTCACTTTGACATATGAAGATTTGGTGGGGTGAGTGGAAATTGAAGACTCTTCCCAAAGAACCCCCACCCCCCCCCCCCAGGAGCAAAATTGAGTGTGGAGCTTGGGGAGGAGGCTGAAACCCATTTACCTAATTTTTAAAAAAATAAATTCAGAAGGCATGGATAAACTTTTGCATATACATAGAGATAGTTTGGCATCATTCTACCCTTAATCGTAATGTTTTTAAAAAATTAGGTTCCCCTTCACTAATTTTGTTGAAATAAATGCTTTATATTTTAGTAGTTAATAAATATTAAAATTGTTTTTAATGTATTTCTTATTTCAATTTATTATGTTTTTTTAAACTCAGTCCAAAAGGGGGGCCAGTGCACTGAAATGGCACAAACTGTCCAAAAAATGAAGTATATATGAATATCAGATATCACATAAGTGCATTTATGACAAAAATTTACATAATTTCTAATTGAATGAAAACATAAGTTCATTTAGGATACATCCGGCAGACCACATTTAAGAGCAGTTGACAAGGCATTTTTTTTTAAAAATCAGTATTCCTGAAAAAGGAGTGGCGGGCGATTCCACGCTGATAATAACTGTCAAGGGTATGAGAATCACTGTTGTTATGTGTAGATGATTGTTTTCATGTTTGATAGGGAAAGTTGTTGAGTTAGAGATTGTACGTGTAGCTGTATCGTTTGTGTGAGAGTGTTGTGACTAATTGTGTAAGGGGATATGACGAGCGAGTTTTGGTTGGCTGTGGATGGAAGGATAGAGATGGCCGTTGTGCACTGTTTAGGGCATAGCTTCTTGTGTGATGTTTCTATGTGTGATGATTTCAACTAGATAGATTGAGAAGTTGAACGTTTACAAGTTGTATGGTGAAGTACACTGATTTTCAGGTTGAAGAGGCATATTAAGCTTTTATATTGCAACAAACCGTAAAGTGCTTATTGAATTAGAAACCGTTGCTATTGGTTATACTGTTCGTGGGATCAAGTGAGAGACTTGGCCAGATAAGTAGACACTCATTTCTATGAGTGGATATATTGCAATTCAATAGATTCAACGTTTCGACAATAACAATCGTCCAATAAAAAAAAAAAATAATACAAAAATGATAAGTTGGTACTCACACCCCCTGTTGACACTGGGGGCCATCTCTATATCAGTTATTGACTGAGGGTAGGTCAAGAACAGAGGGGGAAAGCGGTTGGTTCGTTCAGCAGAATGTACCTACATTTATGCATAAATTCTGCAATAATTATCCTGACAGACAACTGTCATCTACAAACAATCATCATATTCATTAAAATAATTGTGGTGATAATTTTATAGCCTTTGACATCCCACCCTTGCCCCTACCCATGTGTCTAGCCCCCCCGTATACCAAATCTCATCAATAACAACCCTCACCTGCTCTCTCAGTGCCTATGTAAGGATGGTCCCAACATAAAACTAAAATTACAAACAAATCGTTTTTCTCAGTCCATTGGCTTCCTAATGTTTCTAGAATGGGCTTAAACTTCAAAACCTGAAAATTTCTTTCTTTCTTTAGTTTTTTAAATTGGAAAGAAAAAATACCAGAATAATTTTTTACCCATGTCTCTTAAAATCATACTTCTGATGGGTCTCAGCATACAGTCATAACATCTCAAAATGGTGCATTGTATATCAAAATGGTAAGAGGTGCAACTACTTACATCCACAATGAGACTGTCTGTGTGAGGATTCATCTGGTTCTCAATCATATAAATCTCAGGCTTTTCCAATTTGATAAGCAGGTCCATGGAGCCAACCATTTCTTCTTGTTTCGGCGTTGGGACCGAATCTAACATCAACATAATATAAAAACAATGTTTGTAAGTTTATATTAGATGACTTCAGACTGAAAGATACAATTGTTCATATCCTAAGTATAAAAAACAATGTCACATGGTCACGGACAAAATTGATAAATTTAATTTCTTTATGCCAATATTGTTAACCCATGAACTGTGGTTGGCAAAAAAATCAGCCCACATTCTCGTTCTGTACTGTGGCGGCCGAAAAAAAACGGCTGATAAAAAACACGGTCCGATAGTAACTTCCAATCCAATATTTAACCGGAATTATAGCCACTTCCTTTTATTAATAATTAAATCGTCTTCTGGTTCAAGCTGTATCATGATAACTTGAAAAGAAATACTTTTTTAATCAGCTATTTTTTTTAAAGCTTAAATGGTTGAAGCCATGGCTGGGCCTTCAGTGCAAGAACTAATAGAAATATGTTTGATACTGATGATGATTTTAACATTCCCCATGGCGATATCAGTTGGGATTATTCTTCTCGTGAATTTTATTCTAGTTTTAGTGATACTGAAGTAGGCCTACTGAGGCTACTGTTAGACTTCGAGCCAGGCCTGGAGGTTGGCCAAGGACTGACTGAATTTTTGTCACAGAAGCTAAAGATTTTAGTTCAGAACTAATAAATTTTACAACCCAAATCAATTCCACAGTTCCTTTTTAAATGTTTACTAGTCAATAATAACTATTTTGCCTGAGATTTGTATTTTGTACTTGGTTTTAGCTGTGGTCCCAGTTTCTTATATGAATGAGCTAAAATTGCTACAATTGCTTTCAGAGGTTTAATTGTAATCAAAACCTTAGCAAACTATACATTTTCTTAAAGATAAATGAATTGGCTACAACATTTAGATTTGTGTTTTAAGTGTATCTATAAAAATGAATGATGTTATGAGCACTTGAAAGCAAGACATTTTGTTGATTTTTTTTTCCTTGAGAACTCCAAGGTCAAGGACACTGAGCAAAAAAATTTTACGGGATGGGCAATATGGCCAACTTTATCCCCATCCATTTACCTTTCTAAAAATATATACTTATAGGGGTCTTGTATCAATATTTCTATGTCATTTAATGTAATTTCAAAAGGCACTCAAAACGCTCTGAAAAGCTCCACACCACAGAATGATGCATGCCACAGTTCCTGGGTTAAGCAGAGATGAAGGTCTGAGAAACATTTAGAGCAGACTACACCAAATCCCACTGATCATCCAACCCCCAGGACTGACCAGAGAAGGTCAGTGAAAAATGTCTCCATCACCCCGTACTGACCAGAGGAGGTCAGTGAAAAACGTATTCATCACAAGAAAAAAAAAAATAAATTTAAATGAGCAGAAGAAATCTAAGTCAAAGAAAATAGAATACATTTTTTTCTTCATAAATTTATTATATTTATTGAGTCTCTTTGACTTATTCTTTTCGTTGAATACACACACACAAATTCACCTCTTCTGTCTGAACAACTAAGACAGACAAATTTCAACACTTCTTCTGTCTTGAACAACTAACACAGCCAAATTTCAACACCTCTTCTGTCTTGAACAACTAAGACAGCCAAATTTCAATCCTAACAGGCTGTTGATTTCCAAATTTGGTGATAGAGATTTTCTTTCTAAGGATTTAACTCTTCCACAAAAATATACTTCCTGTAACAGACCAAGTTGTCTGTAATTTTTCACACAACACTATTATGTCAGGATAGCATAGTAATTTGAGCATAGAGTTGTAATGCCTCGTATTTCACGAGAAAAAAGGAGGAACTATTTTTCTATAGCGTGGTGGACTGCACGCTTTAGTTGAACGAGAGAGTACACCATTTTTCTGACAGAGATCGGACCTGTTTTATTTTCTATCATGTGAATTATTGAAATATTGTAGTATTTTGATTCAAATTGTGATATGGAATATTGTATACGTGTATAATGATTGCATCCTGGAATTGTTGCAGGATATCCGCCTAGGAAGGCATATTATTTATGTGGTTATAGAATGTAATAAAGTACTGTGTAATTTTATTCCTTGGACGTTATCATTACTTGATGAATGAGAGAGGAGCACATGCAGATTAATAGTGATTCAGACGCTAGCTAGCGGCATCCTAAGACAATCAAACATTACAGTACATTAGTTAACCATGCTACATCAACAGATCAAATAGCATGTGTTACTCTTCCCTTAGCTCAGCGGTTCTCAACCTGTGGGTCGCGACTGCCCTAGCTGATGAGTTCTTTCCACAAGAATTTCTCTTTCCCTGAGAGGAGGTAACCCTCAGATTTTTGAATCTGCTACATCTTGTTTGTAAGGAAGACGCACTACCATTGCACTACCATTGCACTACCATTGCACCACCATTGCACCACCATTGCACCACCATTGCACTACCATTGCACTACCATTGCACCACTCCTGAGTCCCTCTATTATTGTTATTTTCCCCAACTCCATGATTTGTTTACTATTTCAATACTGACCGGGTTTCTTCTCTGGTGGCTTGTTTGCAAGGCGTGGATCTTTAGCAGTAGGTGTACCATAAGGAATACTGTTGTAGAAGAAATCCATGACCTTCATGATGAACTCCAGGCAGATGCAGATATGGAGAGAACAGATATTCAGCAAAACTGAAAAATAAAAAAAAATTAAATAAAAAAATTGTCAAATAGCTTGATGTATTTTTTGCTGAGTTCATCATAGCTATCACTGTATTATCAACTTTTGCTTGTTTGTTAAAAGGACGTTTCACATTTTGCAGGGTGTTCTGGGAAGCTCATAAGAAAATATTCATTTGAACCAATTCAATTCTAAAATAAATAAAAGCAGAGGAAACATGGTTCTTAGTTTAGTTATTTATTTTTTTTTTAAATTCTTTGAAATGTTTGGATATATAAATAACACCAAGATATACATTTAAAAGCACTAATTAGACAAGCCAATACGTATTAATGATGCATTTATTTAAATTACCTATGGCAGCAGAATCATTTTGCAGCACGGCTGAAATTAAAGCTAAATTTTTACAGGCCTTATTTTTACTCAGAGTGACTGAACAATGATAATAAGTTCTGAATCTTGCACACGATTCCATCTATTGATCAGGTCATTTTAAGTGTTGGAATGTCCCACTTCCCTTACATTCATGTACCACAGCACCAAGACTCAGATGCAAAGTGTTATCAATACTGAGAATACCTTTCTTGTCCTGCTTAGCACTCTGGTCGTAGGCTAGATCAATAAACATGCCCTCTGTGCTGGCTGTGAAATTGGTGGTTGGGGTTTCTCTCTCTTGATGTTTGTAGGCAGTACGACGAATCAATCTGGGAAAACAATTCAACTTTGAGATGAATCAAACTGGGAAAACAATTCAATTTTCAGGTTAAAACATATGGGAAAACAATTCAACTTTGAGATGAATCAATCTGGGAAAACAATTCAAATTTCAGGTTAAAACATATGGGAAAACAATTCAACTTTGAGATGAATCAAACTGGGAAAACAATTCAATTTTCAGGTTAAAACATATGGGAAAACAATTCAACTTTGAGATGAATCAATCTGGGAAAACAATTCAAATTTCAGGCTAAAAAATATGGGAAAACAATTCAACTTTGAGATGAATCAAACTGGGAAAACAATTCAATTTTTAGGTTAAAACATATGGGAAAACAATTCAACTTTGAGATGAATCAATCTGGGAAAACAATGTTTCAAAGTAATTAATGGGGTATGTAACAGACCAAGTTGGCTGTAATTTTACACACGACACTATGATGTCAGGATGGCGTAGTAATTTGATTATAACGTTGTAGTATCTTGTGAATCACGAGAAAAGCGCAAACAATATTTTTCTAGAGCGGAGGTAGACGGCACGCTTTAGTAGAGCGAAGAGTGTACCCTTTTATCTGACAGGAAGCAGACATCTTTTTATTCTCTCTTGTATGGATTATTGAAGAATTAAAGTATTGTGATTCAATTGTAATGTGGAATATTAAATAAGTGTGTGATGATTGCATCCTAGAATTGTTGCAGGATATCATCATAGCAAGTCTTATTTTTGTTGTAGTAATTCATATAATAAAGTACTGTACAATTTATTCATAGACGTTGACACCTCATTGTGTGAGGGGACAATTGTTTAGTTGGAGTTGAGGAGTGAGAGAATTAATTACATTACGCAAGTGATAGCGGCATCCATGACAATCAAACAAAGTATTAGTTAACCATGCTACATCGGCAAGAATAGCACGTGTTACAGGGTAAAAACAATTGAACTGAATCAATCTGGAAAACAATTCAATTTTTAGAAGAATCATCGGAAAAAACGATTCAATTTTCAATTGAATAAATCTGGGGGAAAATTCAAATTACAGACTTCTCTGCTCATTTATAATCACTTACAGAATATGCAAACTTTATTACAGATATGTAATTTATATAATTGTAATTTGAGTGGGATTTATACTTACCATAATATTGTTCTAATCTAAGTTCTAGGAGACTTTTATTAAAACAAAGTGACCCATTATTTTCTTGAACTCGGTAATTTCTCCAAAACCCATTTGGGGTCCCGACTTATGGGTTGGGAACCAGAACTCTAGGGTATTTGAAACAAAAGAACTGTTAAAACGTTGCTGGTTTTTTTAATATTATGTTTTCCTCAGTGATGCCACCAACTCACTTTGTGATTCCACCTTCCTTTTCCACTCGGCAGTCGTCCATTGTGAAGTCCACCAGTCCAACCTTGGCTGACAACGACTCATCTGATTTCATGTCTAAGTTGACACTCAGCATTTTGAGAGTCAGCTGTGACAGCATCTTGTTGACAGGACGGATGGTTTCTCCAGATTCCTGGAAAAAAAAAACCCCGGAACTGTCAACTGGCTTCAGGCAAATATTTTATTTCAACTTCATTTTAACAAGTTTATTTACATTTTAATATTATTATAACATTTGTGTTTACATTCTTATTTAAGTATAACTTTGAGAACACTCACCAAATTGACTCTGCCCCTGAAAAGCTGCACGTTGATGTACATTAACTTGAAGTTCATTTTGAGGGTTGAATAGATCTCTTCAGCAACCAATGCAAGCTGACCTCTTTCAGATGGGACAGTGGACAGTACTGTAACTGACTTGGACGAGTCAGCTGGTCAAAGTCAGCAAAGATTGGAATGTCAATAACAAACATTGAACATTTAAATGTCAATAACAGACATTGAACATTAAATTGTCAATAACAAACACTAAACATTTAAATGTCAATAACAAACACTGAACATTGAAATGTCAATAACAAACACTGAACATTTAAATGTCAATAACAAACACTGAACATTGAAATGTCAATAACAAACACTGAACATTGAAATGTCAATAACAAACACTGAACAATGGAATGTCAAAAACAAGCACTGAATCTTGATGGTGATGATAAAAATCCTCATACAAACAGAACCTAGCATGGACCAAGATGATAAACAAAACCCAAGGCAACCTTACTATATTGAGGGGATATATTTGAATGAGTCAAACTTTTCAAACTTATTATATTTAGGGGATATATTTGAATTATATATTTCAAAATAATAAAATGACACTGTAAATGTTCACCGACTGATGACATTAACAAATTAATACTATATTGTAAATGTTCACCGACCGATGACATTAACAAATTAATACTATATTGTAAATGTTCACCGGCTGATGACATTAACAAATTAATACTATATTGTAAATGTTCACTGACTGATGACATTAACAAATTAAAAATATATTGTAAATACTGACAGACAGATGTCATCAACAAATTTAAACAATGGATATCACTCATGAGAATTTAAAGGACTTATAGTAAAAAATGCAGGCCTTTAATTCAAGGCTAAAATTCTAAATATAATATATCTAAAAATTAAAAACAAATATGTAACGTAGAATTAACTTAGGTTATATATGCTAGCAGTTAAAGAGGGAAGCAGTTTGTTTAATAACAGACCTGTTTACCCCTTGGCCAAAGTAACTAAGTTTTTAAGCTTAAGACTATGACACTACAAAGAGCCTTCAAAACAAAATATATGGATTTGGGAGGTTTTTTTAAAATTACTCGTAATTGAAGATGAAAAAATTGGGGTGGACAGAAAAAAGTACTTTAATTTGATGTAATACCTTAAACATTACAAAAATCACAACAGTCATTGACCTAGACAGTCTCGATGTAATCTCAATGAGTCAACCAGAAGCTTTTATTTTAGAGGGTGGTTACATTCATCTTCTGCCTCAAATTAATCGTATGCTGATTCTTCAACTAAATTGGGTGCAACATTTATTGTAATTCTCTCTGTGACGCTGCATGATAACATTGACAAGGCTCTAACAAGGCCTTATAACATTGACAAGGCTCTAAGAAGGCCTTATAACATTGACAAGGCTCTAAGAAGGCCTTATAACATTGACAAGGCTCTAAGAAGGCCTGATAACATTGACAAGGCTCTAACAAGGCCTGATAACATTGACAAGGCTATAACAAAGCATGATAACATTGAAAAGGCTCTAACAAGGCCTGATCATTGAGGCTCCTATTTATGTAGAGAGGATTGGCCTTACTTTTCTTTGTCATTGATTCTGTCCTGGCCGACTCCTTTGAAACGATCGGGTCATCTTTGTTCCTTTCTTTCAAGTTTCCAGAGAGGATGTTGAAAGCCAGAATGAGATCCTCTTTGTTCAGTTTTACCTGGCAATATTGATCATTTGTAATAACAATAACAATGTTAAGGTATCAAACAGAGGACATGTGTCTCTTTGGTAACAGTAAAAATGTTCAAGAATCATACAGAGGACATTCGTCTCTTTGATAACAGTGAAAATCATCAAGAATCATACAGAGGAAATTCGTCTCTTTGATAACAGTAAAAATGTTCAAGTATCATACATAGAACATAAATGATGTACAAAACTGTGTTTGGATCTCAATTTTCCCAAAGTTAATAATTATTTAATTAACATCTAGTAATATCACACAAAATAAACACCCTTCACTGAAAGAACTATTGGAAGAAAAGTATGTTGTGAATCACAGATAGCTAACAGATAGCTAAGGTCAACTTGATCAGGGCAAATCCTTTTTCTTAGAGTTAGGGCCGAAAGATAAACACTTGTGTGTTCTTCCTTCTGTGAGACTTGACCAGTGTTCACTCCCAGTGGTTACAAAATGTAAATGATCACTAATTAAGTCATCATTGTCATTAAGGGGGTTTATTAATGGCTGATTTCTACACCTGATCAATTTCATAAATACATTAAACGTCATGTGTTTAAACTGTGATAATTGCAAAATATTGTCTTGGTTTAAGTATTAATTTATTTATGAGCTCAAAATTAATATGCACAATGTAAATGTAATCAAATGCATTTACATGTATTTGGATCAATAAAGAATCTTGTCCTATCTACCTAAATCACTTACTTGGATCAATAAAGAATCTTGTCCTATCTACCTAAATCACTTACTTGGATCAATAAAGAATCTTGTCCTATCTACCTACATCATTTATTTGGATCAATAAAGAATATTATCCTACCCACCTACATCATTTATTTGGTTCAATAAAGAATATTATCCTACCTACCTACATCATTTATTTGGATCAATAAAGAATAATATCCTATCTACCTAAATCATTTATTTGGATCAATAAAGAATATTGTCCTACCTACCTAAACCATTTATCTGACATGTTGGGCTAACGACCCTAAACAGGATCATAATGTCTTCTTACTTACCAGATGACAGGGGATATTCATAGTTAATAATTACATAATGGGGCTGAGCTGATGTAGTCTTGGCAGTCCATGCTATGCTCAGTAGGAGGTCCAAGACACATAGACACAGGGCCACCCCAACCCCATGGGGCTGAGCTGATGTAGTCTTGGCAGTCCTTGCTATGCTCAGTGGGAGGTCCAAGACACAGAGACACAGGGCCACCCCAACCCCTCCCCCATATCAATTGACTTTGATACCTTAGCTGTCTAACGTCCAGACTTACATTGATCTGGTCAAGATAACCAGTAACTTCAACATCTGGCACTCCGTGGAACCATCCTGTTGACAGGTTCCTTTGTATATTGACCTTAAAAGTCATCGGGTCAAGGATGGTTATCTCCCAGTTGATTAAACCCTCTTCATTGATAAGAACACCCCTGCAAATAACAAACATATATCGACTGAACTTTGACCACAGAAAATAATAACAAATAGTTAAAGACAGAACTTTGACCACAGTCAATAATAACAAATAGTTAAAGACAGAACTTTGACCACAGTAAATAATAACAAATAGTGAAAGACAGAACTTTGACCACAGTAAATAATAACAAATAGTTAAAGACAGAACTTTGACCACAGTCAATAATAACAAATAGTTAAAGACAGAACTTTGACCACAGTCAATAATAACAAATAGTTAAAGACAGAACTTTGACCACAGTCAATAATAACACAAAAGTATAGACTGAACTTTGACCGCAGTCAATAATAACACAAAGGTAAAGACTGAACTTTGACCACAGTCAATAATAACAAAAAGGTATGGATAGAACTTTGACCACAGAAAATTAACAAGTTTATAAACTATTGCTTCTATCAACAATATGACATTAATCTGTGACTTAGCTTCCCCACTTGGCTATTGTGTATATTCCATATTGCCACTGACCCAGAACTTTTGGGGTGAAACGGAATAAAATAAAACTTCCCTAGTTTGTAAGACAGACAACATGACTGTAGTGAGGCAGACAACATGACTGTAGTGAGGCAGACAACAGCATAAATGTGGGGAAGACAACATCAAAGTTGTGAGGCAGACATCAGTGTAGAGAGGCATACACAAATTATTTCTATAAAACATAATCTGCTTGTCTGGAAAAATGATCTCCTGAAATCGCCTCATGAAACACCACCCCAAAACCCAACTCAACTCTCTTGTAGAGAAAGTAGTCTGGATGATCAGAGGGTAAGGACCTAATAGTATTTAGCTTACAACCACTACCCAAGGTACAGTGAGATTGGTCAGCATAACAACCACTAACCTAGATAGTGTGTGATTGGTCACCATTACAATCACTAACCTAGAGAGTGTGTGATTGGTCACCATTACAATCACTAACCTAGATAGTGTTGAGATTGGTCAGCATGATAATCACTAACCTAGATAGAGTGTGATTGGTCACCATTACAACCACTAACCTAGATAGTGTGTGATTGGTCAGCATGATAATCACTAACCTAGATAGAGTGTGATTGGTCACCATTACAACCACTAACCTAGATAGTGTGTGATTGGTCAGCATTACAACCACTAACCTAGATAGAGTGTGATTGGTCAGCATTACAACCACAAACCTAGATAGAGTGTGATTGGTCACCATTACAATCACTAACCTAGATAGTGTGTGATTGGTCAGCATTACAACCACTAACCTAGATAGTGTGTGATTGGTCAGCATTACAACCACTAACCTAGATAGAGTGTGATTGGTCACCATTACAATCACTAACCTAGATAGTGTGTGATTGGTGACCATTACAACCACTAACCTAGATAGTGTGTGATTGGTCAGCATTACAACCACTAACCTAGATAGTGTGTGATTGGTCAGCATTACAACCACAAACCTAGATAGAGTGTGATTGGTCACCATTACAATCACTAACCTAGATAGTGTGTGATTGGTCAGCATTACAACCACTAACCTAGATAGTGTGTGATTGGTCAGCATTACAACCACTAACCTAGATAGAGTGTGATTGGTCACCATTACAATCACTAACCTAGATAGTGTGTGATTGGTGACCATTACAACCACTAACCTAGATAGTGTGTGATTGGTCAGCATTACAACCACTAACCTAGATAGAGTGTGATTGGTCACCACTACAACCACTAACCTAGATAGTGTGTGATTGGTCAGCATTACAACCACTAACCTAGATAGAGTGTGATTGGTCACCATTACAACCACTAACCTGGATAGAGTGTGATTGGTCAGCATTACAACCACTAACCTGGATAGAGTGTGATTGGTCAGCATTATAACCACTGACCTAGATAGTGTGTGATTGGTCAGCATTACAACCACTAACCTGGATAGAGTGAGATTGGTCAGCATTACAACCACTAACCTGGATAGTGTGAGATTGGTCAGCATGACTGTCATGTGTTCCACAATATGAGCATGGCCAGCAGACAGCCGTTGCTCAAGGTCAATGCGTTCAAATCGGTTGCCCACATTGATGTCTCCAAGGTTGATCATCATCACTTCTAGAGATCTGGATGATTTCGGAACAACAAGGATCGGTGCTTTTAGCTGAAATATAAACAAAGTTGAGTGCTTTCAACTGTGAGTTACAAAATCGTTGACTAAATCTTGTAAATCCCAAAGCAAAATAATGTTGAATAAGAGCTTTGAAGCAACTCATAAAGGTTTCGCAGGTAGGTTGGATTAAGACATTTTATACAGAAGAATATATGGAAAACAAATGGTAAGCATGCAGATAATTATTTCCTTGAATAATTAGACATGAACAATTTGTGTCAATATAACAATATATTTTAAGCGATAACAATACTTTTTTACATAATACACAAGTAAATGTTTTGAGACATGCCTTCATCAATATAACAACAAAACATTGAAATAAGTCTACATTAAATGGACCTATTATATAGATCCTACCTAAAAAAAAAAGAGACAAAATAGGAGTGGGCGCAAAAACCAGACAGAAACAAAATAAAGAAGTATGGAAAGGAAGTGATTTGAAGTAAAATGTAAAAAACCAAACAGGAAAAAGACATGGCCGCTATGTTAAGTTATGGACTTGGTTTATTTGATAATTATGTCCTACATGACACAATCAAAGAAAGGTTCCATGAGAAAATATTAGCTATTGACATGGCGTGGTCCTATCTCAAAGCGCTCATGACGCCTTATGTACCCACAAGACCATTCCGCTCATCCAAAAGTGGCTAACTCTTGAAACCACATATTGGCCTGGAGACTTACGGAAGGCACACTTTGGCATTTAATGGCCCAACAATTTTGAACACCCTTCCTGTCGCTCTCAGAAACAGCCAGTCACTGGAGTCATTTGAAAACGCATCTATTTTGCAAACACCTGCTGGGGTGATGTTGTCTACCATCTTTTCCAGCTAGCTATTATCTCCTAGATGTATATTGGCTTGTGTTGTTTATGGTTTCAAGGGATAAAAGACTTAGAATGGGTATGCTCGTATGTAGATTTTGTAATGTTGCGTTTTTTATTTCAATGCGGTAAAATATAGATTGTTTCTTTTCTCTTTTAGTATGGTTGACTTTGTACCGCATTTCGAGCCTTTGGGGATGAAGTGTGATTTTCAAATAAACTTTATTATAATTATTATAATTTCCTACATAACAGAACCCGAGGAAGGTTTCATGGAAAAATATTTGCTACTGATAATTATGTCTTGCCCAACACAACATGAGGAAGGTTCCATGGGCAAATTTAAACAAGGGTTAGTAATGTCCAACTTACAGCCACATCCAGTTTGATGCGAGGTGCACTCTCTTGTAGATTCTTGGCCACATCTTTGGAGGCTTCCTTTACAGCTTTACTAGCTTCATCCAACTTGGTTTTGGCAATTGAGAAGTTGTCCAGGAAGTTCTGTGGGTAGATTACAGGTGTAGGGTAATAGGTATAAAAACAACAAACAAGAGATTACATGGGGCACTCTTAAATAGTCTCCCTAACATTCCCTCTTAGTCTCACTAACATTCTCACTAACATTCCCTCTTAGTCTCACTAAAATTCCCTCTTAGTCTCACAAACATTCCCTCTTAGTCTCACTAACATTCCCTCTTAGTCTCACTAACATTCCCTCTTAGTCTCACTAATTCCCTCTATGACCCTCCCTATAATCCCCATCTAAGTATCATGATCATCCAACTTGAAGTCTCACCATAATCCCTCTTGGAGTCTCACTAATAACCCATTGGAGTCCATACATAATCCCTCTTGTACTCTCATTAGTATTCCAATTTGAGTCTCACTATCAATCAGCCAGTAGTGTAGCTATACTTGTTGCTGCATGGGGAGGAACCTAACCATAATTCTGTACATAAAAAAGTCACCATGTCCAAACCCACCCCGTGGCGAGATGAGAGAAAGTATAAGCGAAGTGTCAGCCTAATAAAGAACAAGATTATAATCATCAAATGTTATCGCCTGAGTTGTTTCCTTAGTGAATGCCAGATATAGATGAAGGTTAGCAGAGAGCAAGCAAGGTTTCCTTACAACCCAACCCTTTCTATGCCACTGCCTCTCTATAAATGCCCCTTTACACCAAGAGACCCTTGTTAACAACAACAATGCAAGCTCTCCCCATCTGCTGTAAAATATTCATGTCACAGCAATTGATGTTATCAAACTTGCTGCAGACTGCCTATGCCCCAGGCAGGGTCAAAGGCATAAGTAAGGATAATTAAATTAATGAAAGCCAAATGCAAAGACTTGTCAATTTCCTATTAGCTTTGTCCCAAATATTCCATGGCAACTCTTGAACTCTGGTTTCATATCAACCATTTCATTACTGATCTTTTTTATGTCATGACCCACTTACAAGTAGCGACAGGATGAACTTGTTGACAAAAACAATGCGAGCTCTCCCCAGCTGGAGGAAGATATCCATGTCATAGCAATTGATGTTATCGAAGTTGCTGCCCTTTGTACCATTGTTGTACTGGATCATTTCAAATTTAAGCATCTCAGTGCCACTCACTGAGAAGATCTGATGACAAGAAATGGGGCAGTGTTAAATTAAGGCAGACAAAATCAAATCAAGACTTTTCTACTCTTCGATGTTTTAGTTCTTCCAACAACAACTTATCACACTATCTAATAATATAAATTTATTTTATTGATCCAAACCAATGGAAATGTGTTTTGATTACTGGCATATTTCTTGGCATCCTAACAACACATCCAGTCAACATCCTCATTAAAAATAACAATTTTAAACCAGAACATTTTTAGTTTCAAAATATATTTAAATCAGACATCCTATGTCATCACACCTTACTTATCGAATATTGAATAAAAAATAATGAGACATCCTGTGTCGTCACACCTAACTTATCCAATATTGAATAAAAAAAGAATGAGACATCCTGTGTCATCACACCTTACTTATCGAATATTGAATAAAAACATAATGAGACATCCTGTGTCATCACACCTTACTTATCGAATATTGAATAAAAACATAATGAGACATCCTGTGTCATCACACCTTACTTGTCCCACATTGAATAAAAAGAGTTATTATGTAATTTCTTAACAGCTGTGTAGTTTAGTACAAATAAGAACCTATGGCTGTGCCAAACTTTCAGTCTTGCAATAAAACAATGTTAAACCTAAGATGTTTTATCTTATATTTCATAGAGTGTCTGTGGATTTGTCCGTTGTCACCCTTGCATTAACCCACGAACTGTGGTCAGCCTAAGAAACCGGCTAATATCTTCATTCTATACTGCGGCGGCCCAAAAAATCATTTAATGCTATTTCAAAAGGCACTCAAAAAGCTCCTACAGTATGGAATGATCTATGCCACAGTTTATGGGTTAAATCAACTGACCACCTTATGATACAGCAACTTATCTTTGTTAGAACAGTCTTAGTACTAATAAGAACCTATGGATTTGTCCCACTGTCACCCTTACAATAAATAATTGTTTACCTTAGGATACTGATACTTTGTCTTAGGGTCTGGATCCAAAAGTTGTATTTTGTCCCACTGTCACTCTTACAATCAATGTTTACCTTAGGATACTGATACTTTGTCTTAGGGTCTGGATCCAAAAGTTGTATTTTGTCCCACTGTCACTCTTACAATCATTGTTTACCTTAGGATACTGATACTTTGTCTTAGGGTCTGGATCCAAAAGTTGTATTTTGTCCCACTGTCACTCTTACAATCATTGTTTACCTTAGGATACTTTGTCTTAGGGTCTGGATCCAAAAGTTGTATTTTTCTCATCAGAGCAGACACTCCAAGCTTGCCTGTGTGCATTCTGGCACCAACCTCGATTCCTGAGGGGGATAAACATGTCACACAGGTAGGATTCAATAAAGTGCAAAAATGTTTCTGTCACAGCTTGTCACAAGTGTTTTTGTCACACCTCAAATGTAATACTAAATAATGGGGCCCATGTAACTTTTTTAAGGTAAAATTGAGTTTTTTTTTGGTGGGTTTTTTTCATTCTTTTAATTAAGGGACAACTTTAATATGCACTACAAAATCTATTTTGTTCTCTTAAACTACCTGCAACATCAGTATGACCTATGCTATCTGCAATGCCATCAGGATCAACTATGCTAACTGCACAACACATGTCTCATTCACTAGACTGACCTTCAACCTTTGTGTGCATGACAACAGACGTCTCATTCACTAGACTAAGTTGGATGCTTTCAATGATGGCTCTAAATCTTAGCAGCTGCACATCGGAGACATGAGCTCTCCCTTCTCCTGGAACAACAAATGCATAGTTTTAGTGACATGCTCTGGAGACATTATTACATATCAGAATGGGAAAGATGAAGAAGCTATCATCTGATGACCTATCAATCATGGAAAGATAATAGAGCTATCATCTAATGACTCATCAAAATTGGAAAGGTGAAAGAACTCAATCCGGTAAAGGTGCTTGCCAAAGTCATATTTCTGGGATATGGGAGGATTGCTTCAAATGGCCATTGCTGGAATGACACCAGAGAGAGCACTCATTATCTTTATCTTTTGATTGACATTTGATCTAATTGACATTATCTTTTTTTTTTTAAATAAACACACACATAACATTGTTTCATATCATGTCATATATATATATATATATATATATTTTTTTTTTGTGTGTGGGTGGTTTTGTTCGCACACATTTCTACATGGATTGCTGGATCAAGACCAAACTTGGGACATATCTATATATATAATTCGCCGGTCAAACACCAACGTGGTTCAAACACCACCCAGGCTATTTATAGATACGCCAGAGTGTGGTTCAATAATGAGTTCACTAGCGCACAAAATATTATTCCCGATAACTACACTCTATATCATATAGATAACTACACTCTATATCATAGAGATAACTACACTCTATATCATAGAGATAACTACACTCTATATCATAGAGATAACTACACTCTATATCATAGAGCTAACTACACTCTATATCATAGAGATAACTACACTCTATATCATAGAGATAACTACACTCTATATCATAGAGATAACTACACTCTATATCATAGAGATAACTACACTCTATATCATAGAGATAACTACACTCTATATCATAGAGATAACTACACTCTATATCATAGAGATAACTACACTCTATATCATAGAGATAACTACACTCTATATCATAGAGATAACTACACTCTATATCATAGAGATAACTACACTCTATATCATAGAGATAACTACACTCTATATCATAGAGATAACTACACTCTATATCATAGAGATAACTACACTCTATATCATATATATTTTTTTTAATAAGGCAATTTTATTTGGTGCGTACTATCTTCTATTCAGAAATGACACCGTCTCAATTTAAGGATTGTGTCAAAAATATTGGGTTTAAAAGTGGTTGGGATATGAGAATATTAATAGAGTTCATGGGCGTGAAATAAAAAGTGTGCAGTGATGTTAGATGAAAAAAGGGGTGGGGGGAGGGGTGTAGCAAATACTGGGATTTTTTTTAATGAACTTGAGTTCACGTTTTTGTCAAGTAACTTTAGTAGATGGGAAGTTCACGCATTGCTGTTTCCAATGTTTGGTGGGTTCCATCTAGTATCCATTATTATGCGGAAGGAACACTTGTGGGGTTATGAACTTTTATTAACATTTCGCTTGGTGCCATACACCCTGAATTCATTTTTTTTCTTCTTATAGGTGCTATATAAATAAAATGACACACAAATACTCTTACATGAATAGATGGATCTTGACCAAACTTAGTACAGTTACATTTATACCAATAAGCCTAGACAAAACTATATGTTCTATGTGAATTGATGGATCTAGACCTACCTAAGTAGCAATACCCTTTATAGTCAGTATTGAAATATCGGTGAATTTAAAATGATTAATAACCAATCAATTCAGGGCCGGTCTAGAACTTTCCAGAAAGTTTGATAATTTAAAAAAGCTATATCTATGATATTTTTAAACACATTTTAATGGCACAACTTTTAATTTTTAATTCCCTTATTTATCTGAGTAATTTTTATAGGGCCAAATAGGCCGGGATCCCACTGAGAACGGGATCCCATAAGCATTTGTGATACCATTTAGAAATGGGATCCCATCACGATCAGGATCCCAATGAGGTCGGGATCCCAAAAGATTAGGATCCAATGGGGGTCAGGATCCCATCAGAAACATGATCCCATCAGGAATGAGATCCCATTGGGTATCAGACCACATCGGGATTGGGATCCCATCAAGATGGGGATCCCACAAGGATTGGGGTCATATCGGGACCAGGATCCCACTGATATCCATCAGGATCGGGATATGGATCACATAATAATAATGATAATAATAAGATGTCTTATATAGCGCGGTACCCCAGCCTAGGGCTGGGCTCACTGCGCTGTACATAAAAATTTTATCAAAAGAGACATAATCATGACATTAAAATAAAATACATTTATGAAATAAAGAAGAGCCATGTATATTCACCCACCCAGCACATAACTTTTACAAATCTAGGAAATCAGCAAACAAGAGGAAAAGGATCCCACTGGGGATTGGATCCTAAAGGGAAATGGGATCCCATAGGGATCCTATACCAAAATATGTATTTTTTCTTAGTGACATGTTTTTTACAGGCCTCTTAATTTTGATGTTAGCAAAATGGCTGTAGAAGCTGCTTTTTTCCAAATGCAATCCTGGGATATGCCAGTTATCTTATATAAATTAAACATTTTCTCAGCAATGTGATGTAAAATGGGAAAGTTCTAAAATTGGATGGTTTAAAAATTGGACATTTCTAGAATTGGACAGTTCTATAATTGGACAGTTTTAAAATTGGACATTTCTAGAATTGGACAGTTCTAAAATTGATCAGTTCAAAAATTGCACAGTTCAAAACGTAACATCCTCCCCTCCCCTTATGTTCCACAAATTAATTCATAACTAAATATAAGCAGTAACTTTGGGTCCCCACTTTCAAACAAGTGTGATTAACCCGCCCCCCACCCCCCCCCCCCCCCCCCCCCCCCCCCCCCCCCCCCCNGGGAAGCAAGATGTGATTTGACACATGGGAAGCAAGATGTGATTTGACACATGGGAAGCAAGATGTGATTTGACACATGGGAAGCAAGATGTGATTTGACACATGGGAAGCAAGATGTGATTTGACACATGGGAAGCAAGATGTGATTTGACACATGGGAAGCAAGATGTGATTTGACACATGGGAAGCAAGATGTGATTTGACACATGGGAAGCAAGATGTGATTTGACACATGGGAAGCAAGATGTGATTTGACACATGGGAAGCAAGATGTGATTTGACACATGGGAAGCAAGATGTGATTTGACACATGGGAAGCAAGATGTGATTTGACACATTGGAAGCAAGATGTGATTTGACACATGGGAAACAAGATGTGATTTGACACATGTGAAGCAAGATGTGATTTGACACATGGGAAGCAAGATGTGATTTGAGACATAGAAAACATCATGTGATCTGAGACATGGGAAATAACATGTGATTTGAGACATGGGTGGGTTCAGCTGCACTTAGATACCTAACGATGAAGATGAGCAGAAACCTGAAAATACATGAACTTGGTGGATGCAGTCATTGGCGGTGGAGACTCAAAACAAAGTGACATGGAGGGAACACGTTCACAAAAACTACAAGATAGAGTAGTCACAAATTATACAAGAGCATTTCTTAGTATATCAAGTGCTAAGTAATTGATTTAAAAAAACAAAAAAAACCAAGCTGTTATAAGGTATCCTTTATTCAAAAAAGGATTACAACTTCTCTGTGCATTTATGTAGATGGTTTTAGGAAAGAAAGAAACTGAAAATAGGGTTACCTACCTAGGATGCCCCTCTCCACCTTCTCCTCGACTTCCTCACCATAACAGATAAAATGAAAACCCTTTCTAGTTTGAAAATTCAGGCTATGACTGTCTGTCAAAGTTACACATATATATATTGCTCTAAAGCCTAAAGGTGCTAATCTTCCATTCACGGAAGGAGTCCCTTTACTTTATCAATTTCCTTTGTTCCTCTTCATAAATCTTGAGTTATAGATGGATGTAATCTCAGACTGAGTTCATCATATTTAACAATGATAGTAAAATCAAAATCTCAGACTGAATTCTTCATATCTAACACTGATTTTGAAATTACAATTCAAGTCTAAATTCTTACCACTTTTATAAATGTATATTTCTGTAATTCAGGAGGTATAAAAATAGATATTAAAAATAGATTAACAAAAATAGATGTATAGAAAAAACTGCTACCTCAGAATGACTCCTTGATGCAGCACCAAATCAAGGGTAGAGAACTCTACAGTGATTGACTGAGCAGTGTTGTTGTAGGTGGTCTTGAATTCAGGCCCTTTCTTGTCAGCCTGTCAGAGGGCACACGCACAAACGCATCATAACTGGAGTTTAGGTGAGAATGGCACAAAGGCCAAATATTTGTGTGTTTGTTTTGAAAGGCAAGGAGACCAACTTGTGTGTTTGTTTTGAAAGGCAAGGAGACCAACTTGTGTGTTTGTTTTGAAAGGCAAGGAGACCAACAATTGAAATATTTGTGTGTTTGTTTTGAAAGGCAAGGAGACCAACAATTGAAATATTTGTGTGTTTGTTTTGAAAGGCAAGGAGACCAACAATTGTTTTAAATTTTAAAAAAATCTAATGCACCAACCTGCAAGTAATGGATAGAAAGGAGAGGCTCATTCTCATCTTGAAATGGGGTGTTGATGATGTTGATTAGCTCCCCTGTCACAACTGAGCAAAGACAAGAAGTGAACCTTGAAGAAATAGTACTTTTAACATGACACAAGCAACATCCCTACTATGAAGCTATTATCAAGCCCATCCCCCCCCACCCCACCCCCCTTTTTCAACTCCTGTAGTATTTGCATTGCTCATCCAGGAATTTGACTTTTGTGTGCTAGTATTCACTTCATTACCTTTGTCACATCAAAGGCTAAGGAAAACATATTTTAACAGAAAATTTAGTAAACAAAAATTAGTTAAAACTCAAGGTGATAAAAAAAGTTGTCATACTGTATCTGTAACACTAAATTAAAAGGTATACATTTATTTTGTTAGAAGTAGTCTTCATGCAAAAACATATTAACTTAACCTACAAAAGATCCTTTTTAAAACTGTATGTTTGACTTTCAAACTGTTTTGTTCAAAGTGTATCAATGACCATTAGATAATATTGTAATCCTGGGGCCATGGAGAGCCAGGTGT